AAAAAAAAAAAAAAAATGCTGGTCCGAGTGCAGTGGTGTTTACAACTAATTGATCACAACCAGTTACAGATTTCTTTGTTCCTTCTCCACTCCCACTGTTTCACTTGACGAGCCTTTAAAAATTTTTAAAAAGAAAAAAACAAAATATTAAGATGAGCAGACTTAAGACCTAGGATGTACAGTTACCCTTTGGTTAAAACTATTAAAGTGCATTTGAGTATATGTAAATGTGTACATGCATATATGCATAAATTTATAGCAATTAATAGTGAATTGGGAAGATAAAGATTTAATATTTATCCAGAGTTTCTTACTTCCCCTGAAAGGTAAGATTTTAATGATAATAGAATGATGTGGATTTCAGCACCTCAAGTGATTGGTATGTGTGTCGTTGTTATTTTGGTGTCTTTCATATGGGATGTTAGGATTTAGTGTCACGGTTTTCTTAGATTCTTCCCTTCTATATCTTCAAAATATACAGAGAAGTTTCTCTCCATCCTGTCTCTATTCACATAGTTCCTACCACTCACCCTCCTTCTTAACCACTGTTACTAGTCCTTAATCTTTTCAGAATTTTGCCTGGGCTTTTAAAAGCATATGTGGAAATTTTAAATTCTTTTTTAAAATGTCATTTAGCCAGGCATGGTGGCTTGTACCTGTAATCCCAGCAACTCATGAGGTGAAAGGATTGCTGGAGGCCAGGAGTTTGAGACCAGCCTGGTCAACATAGTGAGACTTTATTTCTGCTAAAATAAAATTAGCCAGGCATGGTAGTTTGTGTTTGTATTACCAGCTACTTGGAAGGCAGAGACAGGAGGATCACTTGAACCCAGGAGTTCAAGGCCGCAGTGAGCTATGATTGCACCACTGCACTCCAGCCTGTGTTGTTGACAGAGCAATACCCTAATACCCTGACTCCAAAAGAAAAATGTCAGTTACCTATATTTTTTTATGCCACCATATTTGTTTCCCCTGTTCATGTTACTTTGACCCGTTAGAAAACTCTGGCAAGTACTTTTTAATTTTATTTTTATTTTTTTGAGATAGTCTCTCACTCCATCAGTCAGGCTGGAGTGCAATGGCACCATCTCAGCTCACTGCAACCTCTGCCCTCCAAGTTCAAGCAAGTCTTATGCCTCCACCTCCTGAGTAACTGGAATTACAGACAGCCACCACCAGACCTTGCTAATTTTTGTATTTTTAGTAGAGATAGGGTTTCACCATGTTAGCCAGGGTCATCTCAAACTCCTGGCCTCAAGTGATCCACCTGCCCCAGTCTCCCAGAGTGTTAGGATTACAGGCATGAGCCACTGTGCCTAGCCTCTGGCAAGTGCTTTTTAACTGAGGAAAGAAAAAATGTAAAAATATGTTATTGACTTTCAGGAGATTCCAGGTATCCATTACTTGGCCAGCCACTGCAGTACAACCCTCCTGCTGTTCTGCACGGACACATTCCAAACCAACAGGTATGAAAGACAGCTAACCTGCTAGGCTTTGTTGCAGAACATCATAGCTCCCTCAGAGTGTGGTGGGCAACCCTGAGCCCACCTGTTGGCACTGCCCAAGGGGAGCTCTGTGCCCCAGCCAGTTGTTTTACATAGATTATCAGTGGCTCCATCAGGGACAGAGCAATGGAGATGGTGTGCTGCTTGGCAGAGCAGTAATTCCCTAGTGCCACCCAAAGACAGCCAGTGGCTAGGGATTGGGGCACTCTTGCTAATGAAGTCAGCAAGCGATTGGTCATAATGAAGGACAGGAACGCCATTGCCACAGAGGCAGAATTCAGAAGGCTTGGGACTGGTTTTCTTCTGCCAAAGTGCAAAACCCAAACTAAAGGTGTTTGGGTGTTACGTTTTTAAACATCCGAAGTGCATTTTTCAGCATTATTAACCTTGTTTCTCAACCGTTTGTGGGTTTTCAGGGTCAGCCTGGCAGCAGGCATGGAAACCGAGGAAGGAGACAAGCTAAAAAAGCTGCATCCACGGACCTTGGAGCAGGAGAAGCAGGTATGTCTCTGAGGGGCAACTGGATGTGGGTCTGCAAACTGGTGACAATCTAAAAATACACCACAGTGGCTGGGTGCAGTGGCTCACCCCTATGATCCCAGCACTTTGGGAGGCTGAGGTAGGACGATGACCTGAGGACAGGAGTTCAAGACCAGCCAGGCCAACACAGTGAAACCCCGACTCTACTAAAAATATAAAAATTAGCCGGATATGGTGGCACATGCCTGTAATCCCAGCTACTCAGAAGGCTGAGGCAGGAAAATCACTTGAGCTCGGAGGCGGAGGTTGCAGTGAGCCAAGATCGTACCACCACACTCCAGCCTGGGTGACAAAATGAGATGCCGTCTAAAAAATAAATAAATACACCACAGTACAGAAATGAGTTTTCCTCTTCCTAGAATCCTGCAGAAAGTGATAATAATCTTTGCCATCTCTGAGTTAGGGTTCTTGAATATGTTTCTGTAACCCTGCGTCATTTGAGATGTGAGAGTATATATAGTAAGGTGCTGGTAGATTTATTTAGGAGGGACAGAGGGGCCAAAGGGAGATGTGTGAGAGGAACAAGTAGAGTGACACTCTTAATCCTGAGTTCTTTGAGAAAGGGTTTGTCCTTAACATCCATGTGGGAGAGAGTCTGAATGAACAAATACATTCCCTCTCTGTGGTAAAGTGCTTTCAGGTTTGTACTTTACCTTTCTACTCAGCAGCCTTGTGGGGTTGTATGGGCAAGTACTTTTATTTTATTTTCCAATGGAAATGCGAAGTTCAGAAAATTGTTTGCCTGAGATCACCTAATTTAGAGAAGCCACTGTATAATGCTTCATTTTATTTGTGCAACTGCCAGTGAAGACTGACATCAGTAGCTTCGTTTTATTTATTTTGTTTTATTTTTAAGATGGAGTTTTACTCTTATTGCCGAGGCTGGAGTGCAGTGTCGAGATCTCAGCTCACTGCAACCTCCATCTCCCAGGTTCAGGGGATTCTCCTGCCTTAGCCTCCCAAATAGCTAGGATTACAGGTGCCCACCACCACCCCCAGCTAGTTTTTTGTGTTTTTAGTAGAGATGGACAGGGTTTCACCATATTGGTCAGGCTGGTCTCGAACTCCAGACCTCAGATGATCCACCTGCCTCAGCCTCCCAAAGTGCAAGGATTACAGATGCACCCGGCTTGATAGCTTTAACACTATTAGCTCTATACCCTTTGCCTACAGGGTAAGTGGGAATGATTTAAAAGATAGATGTCCCTGGCCAGGTGCGGTGGCTCACACCTGTAATCCTTGCACTTTGGGCGGCCCAGGCAGGTCGATTGCCTGAGCTCAGGAATTCGAGACCAGCCTGGCCAACATAGTGAAACCCTATCCGTCTCTACTAAAAAGCAAAAACAAATTAGACGGGTGGGGTGGTGTGGCGGGTACCTGTAATCCCAGCTACTCGGGAGGCTGAGGCAGGAGAATTACTTGAACCTGGGAGCCAGAGGTTGCAGTGAGCCAAGATCATACCACTGCACTCCAGCCTGGACAACAGAGACTCCATCTCCCCCCTAAAAAAGCCCTAACAATTTTAATTTTGTGGATTTGAGTGATGTCCCATGTCATATTGGGTCTGCAGTGCTTTTTTTACCCAACTCATTTTGGTAACAGGGATGTATTAATTCTGCACCTTTTCTATTCTAGTTGTTGGGAAGGTCTTGGAAATTACTGAACTACCAGATGGAATAACTCGCATGGAAGCTGAAAAGCTTTTTGGGGAACTCTTTAAAATTGGCGCCAAGATCCGGTGGCTCCGGGACCCCCAGTCACAGCCACGTCGTCACCCCCTCTGCTGTGGCAGCGGGGACAACACTGTCAACCCTGAACGCTCTAAACCCAGTGACTTGGCCTCCACCTACACGGTCTTAGCCACATTCCCCTCCATTTCAGCTGCACAGAATGCATTGAAGAAACAAATTAACTCAGTTAACAAGTTTAAACTGAGAACAAGCAAGAAGCACTATGACTTTCACATTTTGGAAAGGGCAAGTTCTCAGTAACACCCACCTTTGGACCCTTCACCTTTATGGTTCCCCTGCCCTCTCCCATCTTTGATTGGCTTGGTATTTGGAGCTTCTGTTAACATTATAGAGACTCCTAGGACGTGTGGTCATGGTGTTATAGCTTTTGAAGAAAGGCCAGTGATCCAGCAAAGGGGGGAAAATACGTATTTCACCCCACATGACTGTAGGAATCCACATCAGAATGATACAAAGTTAGCAGGTTTTTCTAAGGAAATGCCGTTCAAATGCCTCCTAACTTTTATAGTTATTTTGTTTTATATTTGTGAATTCTTGTATCAGATCCAAAGCTCTATTGTATAGCAAATTATTCTTCAAAATGATTATAACCAGTTGCAACCTGTATTTCTTTTTGCAGCCAGCACAATGTGACCCAACTTAAAATGTGGGGGAAAAAGAATGCAGGAGTGAAATAACCAAGTCAAAACCATGTACTGTCTCTTTGGGGGTTAGGGATGCTAAGAAGAGACCACAAATAGAGGATTACTCTTCCCCAAATCTCTAAACTCAGAAACATTTGCCAAAAAATACAGAACACTTCCCTGTAGGATCCTTTCCTTATTCATTTAGGTAGTATGAACATTAAGTATAAAATAAATTATGTTCTTAATGCCTCTTAAACCACTTACATTAAAAGGAGAACAGGAATCATTCTAAGCCGGAAAATACTTCCACTTTTTTTAAGTATCTCTCTAATAACTAAATGCCACTTACTTGCATTCCCCTCCTTGTGGATTTTTTGTCACCTAAGGAAATGCATTTGATGAGTGCTGGAAACTTCTTAAGTGGTTTACAGTTTGTTTTCGTTGTTTGCAGCGGATCACTGGACATCAAAGATTCATTGCACTTATGAACAAGGAACCTTCTTTTCAATTTCTGTGTAATTTGCAAGGCTGTACAATGTGTGCTGATGCAAGCCTTTTTCAGTTCAAGAGAATAAATGTTTACAAATATAGGCTTACTTTGTCTTATTTTTTTTTAAATAAAAAACACCTTTTAAATGATTGTCAGTTTTGAAGACAATAACCTTTCTGAAAGATTTAAGTCAATTTCAGATTTACAGAACATGAAAAACTGTAAACAACCTAATGTACAAATGTCCTAAACATCCCTTTCTCTGTGGCAGTGATTCCTCGTGGATATGATTCGTATTACTGTGTTCTTTATCATAAAGTTACTACCAACTGTGAAATTTGGGAGTATGAATGAACGTACTTATTGTCAGGCAACTAAAAACAGAACATTATGTTTGGTGAGATAAAAATTTTGTTTTTAGGCCGGGCGCGGTGGCTCACGCCTGTAATCCCAGCTACTCAGGAAGCTGAGGCAGAAAAATTGCTTGAACCCAGGAAGCAGAAGTTACTGTGAGCCAAGATCATGCCGCTGCACTCCAGCCTGGGTGACAGAGCAGGACTCCGTCTCTAAATAAATAAATAAATTTAGAAAAATAATGCATATTTTTAAAAAATAAATTGAAACAGTATGTGTCATACAGTCTCATATGAATGCCACAAGAGGAACACCTAACCCAGCCCATTAGAAGGGGTCTTTGTACTGCTGACTATGATCGTATCTCCATATTTGAAAAAAACGCTATTACACATGACTAAATACTAGGTGTCTTTATCTAGGGGGTTCAAGAATTTTTAAGCAACTTTCTCTATATTCTGTTAATGCTAAGTTTTTGAGCCTCATTAAATTTTTAAAATTTCATTATTATAGCACTTACTTCTGACTTCTTCACAATTTTTTTTTTTTTTTTTTTTTTTTTTTTNTTAGCTTATGTATTGTACACCCAATTGTCCACTTAGGCTCAAATGCTTTATAGACATCTTTTCCCTTTGGTTAGCCAGGCAAAGTCACACTGCTGGGAAATCTAAAAGATGGGGTCTGCCAGCTGCAGTTTGCCTGGAGCCTGGTTATCTTTCAGCCCAGACTAGGGATTTTACTGTGAAATTGAAGAGCACTAGGTGTTGCCAGACTCTGGTGCAGATGTGCACTCACTCTAGAGCATTTGCAAGGTCCCACTGGTCCCAGAGAATGGTATGCCTCTCCACCAACTAGCACATCCCAATTGTGAATATTGTACTCCTGGGATCAAAAGTTGGAGCTGTCTTAGAACCATGTTAGATTAAGGAGTCATACCTGGGGGAAAGAGTAAGAGTGTGAGGTCTGTGAAAAATCTCTTGCTTCCAAGGCTTGTTGAATTTTATATTTTTGACCTGTAGAGAGTCAAAGATGGAGAGGATATGTAAATAAGGTTAGCATTTCAGCAACAATTCGTCAATCATACATGGGGATGGAGACCAAAAAAAGTCACAACCTCATGGTTCTTGCAATTAATTTTTCTTTTCTTTTTTTTTTTTTTTTTGAGACCAGAGTCTCACTCTGTCACCCAGTCTGGAGTGCAGTGGCACAGTCTCAGCTCACTGCAACATTAGACTTGGGTTCGAACAATTCTGCCTCAGCCTCCCAAGTCGCTGGGATTGCAGGCACCTGCCGCCATGCCCTGCTAATTTTTGTATTTTTAGCAGATAAGTTTTCGCCATGTTGGCCAGACTGGTGACCTCAGGTGATGTACCCTCCTCGACTTCCCTAAGTGCTGGGATTACATTTTGAGCCACTGCACCTGGCCTGCAGTTAATTTCTCTGGAATATTCTCTTTAGGCCCGGCGTGGTGGCTCATACCTGTAATCCCAGCACTTTCGAAGGCCTAGGCAGGTGGATCACCCGAGGTCAGGATTTGGAGACCCAATGTCAACTAAAGACAAAAATTAGCCAGGAGTGATGGTGGGTGCCTATAATCCCAGGCACTGGGGAGGCTGAGGCACTTGAACCTGGGGTGCAGAGTTTTCAGTAAGCTGAGATCATGCCACTTCACTCTAGTCTGGGTGAAACAGCAAAACTCAAAAAAAAAATAAAGCCCAGGTGTGGTGGCTGGATCACCTGAGGTCACGAGTTTGAGATCAGCCTGGCCAACATGGTGAAACCCTGTCTCTACTAAAAAATATAAAAACTACTGGGGCACAGTGGCAGGGGCCTATAATCCCAACTACTTTGGAGGCTGAAACAGGAGAATCACTTGAACCTGGGAGGTGGAGGTTGCAGTGAGCTGAGATTGCACCATTGCACTCCAGCCTGGGAGACAAAGCAAGACTCCGTCTCAAAAAAAAAAAAATGATCATTAACTCCTGCAGTAGGAGTTCTGGTAAACTCCAGTTTTTGCTTTAAATTTTTTAGTTTATCTTGCAGGAGTTGAATACTGTGCAAAGTAAATAGGTAAGACACTAGACCTGAAAAAGATCAGAGGCTATTGTAGAGTTAACTCCCTCCACCACCACTGCATTCCCTGACAATCACATGGAAATAATAATGAAATTGCCAACCCTGCCACCATTACAAACGTATATGCACGTTTCCTAAAGAATACTCGTTTGATTTCACCCACAAAAGAATACTAGAGGGCTGTAAAGAAAAGGCAGTGGGAACTTCTGAATCAGAAATCTAAAATCTTATTTCACCTGTATAAAAATGATGGGAGGCAGAAGCAGACACAGGAGGCACTTAAGATGTGATTTGGTCTAGACTGGAAATCTTAAAGACAGCTTCAGATGTTCCACAGCCCTGGCAATAATCCTTATCGTGGGTTTTTCCAGACCACTGACCATTTTTAGGGGTACATATTACTTTTACCAATAAAGTGTTATTCTTTCTTGTGCCAATATTAGCAGCTTCAGCAACCATTTCTTTGGGAATGATAGTGATCAGCTTATAACATTCTGTTTATGCTACTTAATACCTGAAAACAAAATACGGCTTATGGTTTTAAGCTCTTGGTTTGTGAAGAACATGGATATATTGGGTATGTGTTTGTGATCTAGAGTACAAAGGGTGTTTGCCATGGTGCCACAGGTAACTAAAAATTATTAGGTTGGGCCGGTCACGGTGGCTCAGGCCTGTAATCCCAGCACTTTGGGAGACCAAGGTGAGCGGATCACCTGAGGTCAGGAGTTCAAACCAGCCTGACCAACATGGAGAAACCCTGTCTCTACTAAAAATACAAAATTAGCCAGGCGTGCTGCTGCATGCCTATAATCCAGCTACTTGGGAGGCTGAGTCAGGAGAATCACTTGAACCTGGAGGGCAGAGGTTGCACTCCAGCCTGTGCAACAAGAGCAAAACTCCACCTAAAAAAAAAAAAAACTATTAGTTTGGCATCAAAGCTGGCAACAAAATAGGGATCTGAGCCTTTCCCAAGCTAGGAAAATTTTTTTCCTGATCCCACTAGGGAGGGCTTTACAGGCTATGAATAGTGTAGAAACAGGCCTCTGAGTAGAACCAACAGTTCCAGATTAGCTTGGGAAAAGTAGAGGCAGCATATCTGCAGCTACCTTAGGAAACAGCTAAGTTGGATTCTCTGCATGCTATCAACAACAGAAAACATGCTAATTTAAGACTTCAGCAGAGGCAAGGCCCCTACTCCCAGCCCACTGCCTGCCCAACGGATAATATGTTATCTATAGTCTTCAAAGACAAAGAGCATGAGTTCCATCTTCTAGGGCACAGTGAAGTGCTAGCACAAAGGCACTTTTTACATGCTGGTGGGATTCAAAGCTGGCCCCTGGTTGCTTGGGATTCTAGAAGGCTTTAACAGCTGATGCTAAAAGAACCTGAGGCTTTTGCACACACATTCAGCCCATGACCTTTACCAGCTTGAAAAACAAATACAGCTGCCCTTGAATCCACCCCCATGTCCACATATGCTCAGGCTGCACGGTGCATATTTGTTCATTATTTTTCCCTTCAATGTCTTTACTTGTATTCATTTTGGTTTGATTTCACCCACATAAGAATACTGGAGGGCTGTAAAGAAAAGGCAGTGGGAACTTCTGAATCAGAAAAATGATAAAATTTGGTTATTTGGAGGGTGGGGAAGGAGAAGCATTGAAATAAACCATTAACTAAATAATTTTTAATGTATTTATTTTTTGAGACGGAATTTTGCTCTTGTTGCCCAGGCTGGAGTGCAATGGCACAACCTCAGCTCACTGCAACTTCTGCCTCCCGGGTTCAAGTGATTCTCTTGCCCCAGCCTCCCTAGTAGCTGGGACTACAGACACGTGCCACCACACCCAGCTAATTTTTTGTATTTTTGGTAGAGATGGGGTTTCACTATGTTGGCCGGGTTGGTCTCAAACTCCTAACATCAAATGATCCACCTGCCTCAGCCTCCCAAGTTACGGGGATTACAGGCGTGAGCCACCAAACCCAGATAAATTTTTTTATTATTTTTAAAAAGTACAGTTGGCCAGGCATGGTGGCTCAGGCCTGTAATCCCAGCACCTTGGGAGGCCGAGGTGGTGAATCACCTGAGGTCAGGAGTTCAAGACCAGCCTGGCCAACATGGTGAAACTCCATCTCTACTAAAAATACAAACATTTGCTGGGCATGGTGGTGGGTGCCTGTAATCCCCACTACCCGAAAGAAAGATTGCACCACTGCACTCCATCCTGGGCAACAGAGCAAGACTCCATCTCAAAAAAAAAAAAAAAAAAAAAAATTGCAGTCAGGGGAAGTTATATTATTGGCTTCACAGCAGATCAATCAGATGTGGATAGATGAGAACAAAAATATTTGAAGAAGGAAGCAGAGGTAGTGTGAGTAAAGTGATGTTTATCACAGAGTGGTGATTGTGTCGGTCTTATTCATCATTTTGCAGAAGTATTAAATGCTGTACAGATTAGCTGCACTTTAGGAGGTGTCAAAGAAAATGGCCGGTGACAGGGATTCGGTAAACATAGATGAATTATTTGTCCCTATACATACATATGATAACCTAACAAAAATAAAATGGAGGCAAAGATTCCATTTACAGTAGTAAAAATAATAACAGTAGTAGAAAAAGTTGAGGTCTAGAGTTTTCTAAATTGCTATTTTTATAGTATACCAAGACGGC